AGGGCACTCTCGGGTCCCTCGGCTGTAGCAGAGGTTGTCAGCAATTACCAAATCACTGACACCTTAGAATATGCCTTAATTGGAACAATCCTATGGAGGCAATGTGATTGTGATTACCAGGTACATAAATATATATTAAAGCACGTCATAAAGATTCCATGGAAACTCATGAATCGGACTTTAATACTTCAGAAGGTAACTTACCCTTCAGTAGAAATATGTATTTTTAAAATTGCAGTGACTACTGAAGTACTTGCCTTTTAGATGCTCTGAAAAAAATGATCTGCGTTTGTTCTTCCTCTTCAGAATTATCTAATAATCTTTTCTCCCTGAAGCATTTAATTGGAAATAGGAGCTGAATAATAAATTTACCACATTCCCGATCTTCCAGAATTATTAATTGATGAATTAAAGATGTATTTGTAAAAAGTACACAGATTTTTTTTTTCCATCCTGTGAGTTTTTCTGGTAAATTTCAAAAACAGAAATGCAATTCTTTTAACAATTTGACATTATCAAATTGTATCCTTCATTTTGTATCAGGATTGTGCATTTCTTTTTATATCTTGTGATCAAGCTTTTGTTTTAAAAGTAAATTAAAGCAGCTTTGTTCTTAGTATCTTGAGAATATCCAGTTGAATCTCTTTTTTGAGCAGCTACAGTACAAATTCGAGTCCTTTTCATAAGCTGACAAAATCTGATTCTTAATCTGTTGATGCTCTGTATGTTAAAAACTGACTGAAGCAAACTGTTAATAAGAACTCTTACAAAATATCAGGACAGATTCTTTGTAGTTCTTTAAAGCTTAAAGAGCTTCTGCTGTTCTTCCTTGGCATCTCTCTCCAAACATTAGTGTTTGGTGTACCAGTAAGTGAAATGAAGAAGCTGTTACTTTGTTGTGCATACATTGTTGTTTCACAAGATAGATTAAAATACATTTTAGATTTAAATGAGACTTTTCTCTAAGCTTTGTTTTCTTTCTGTTTCAGTGCTGATGAGCTCCTCCTGACAGAAATGATGTTTAATGGTCTCTTCAATGACTTATCTGCAGAACAGGCAACTGCCCTACTAAGCTGCTTTGTGTTTCAAGAGAATGTAAGTTGTCTTGAATTCATGAATTCTAGCACTTGGTGGTGGTTTAAATTCATTTCCAGAAACTGGTCCTAGCAGCACAAGCTGTTTCCTTTTTACCCCTCCATGAGGTGTTTCTGACATTAACTCCCTTTGAATTGAAGTGCTGCAGCTTTCGTGCTGCAGCCAGCACGCCGTGGTGCATCCACAGCTGCTTCCTTCCCATGCAGCAAAACAGTATTTAAGGTTCTTGGCACGTGTGTACGCACACATCTGCAAACATCCTGAGACAGGGATTTCAAAGGAGATATTTCTGCTCATTACATTGTGCTGATGAGGGCACTTCAGTTCTGAGACAGGTTCATGTTATGTTGTTCCATCAACACCTGTTGATGGAAATGGCAAGAACTGATACCAAAAGAGCTGAAAAGATAACAGACCTTTTGGTAAAACAGACCATGTATTATGAAGAGCAAAAATGGGAGTGTTTAGTTCTGATGCATTTGTTTTCCCCCTTACAAGCTGTATGAAAGTAGTAGCATCAGGAAAACACAAACAATATAAAGTACAGTATCTCCTCAGACAGCTGGCAGGCTTTAGCACTTCCGTTCTGAGGGTGGAAAGCAGCAGCAGGTGATGCTGCTTGATGAGGTGATGGTCCTTGGCAAGGGGAGGGGATGCCTATGTTTGCCATTGCTCATAAGCAGCAGAAAATTAAATGTGGGAATAAAATATTGTGGTTCACTCAACAGTTGTGCTTAGCCTAACCAGCCAGGACATAAAAATGTTGCTGTACTTGAACAACCAGCTTTGCTTTTATAACCATTGATGTTTAAGTTATTCTGTTAAAAGCCGTGCTTTTTACATTCTTGAAGAAAAAAAGAAAAACTTGTAGCACAACTAGAGCCGCAGATGAGACATTTCCTTCTAATTTTGGCAATTTGAAACTGCCAGAGCAGGCCATAGAGTAGTGAACACTACTTTTGGTAGTGTTCAGAAAGCAGATGCTGTTTTTTCTCTTGTTACAGTTGGGATACTGTATAAAATGATTTCTTTTGCTGCCGTTTTATTTTTTTCAGTATTTTTGTTTCAGGGAGGCTGGGTTTGAGAAGTCATTTGAATTGTTTAGGGTGACACTAGCATGTTATAACTTTCCTTTTTGCATCTCATTTGCTTTAGAGCAAAGCTATGGGAGTGTAAATGAGATTATTTAATATTTTCTGTTTCAGTCCAGTGAAATGCCCAAACTGACAGAACAATTGGCAGGACCACTTCGCCAAATGCAGGTGAGCTCTCCCATACAAATCTCACAGCCCACTGTTTGCCTTAGTGTGAACAAAGCAGACGTGTAATGAGTGCAGGATGAAGACTTAATTCTCAGTTATTAGTGAATCTGGCTGCCATTAACTGCACATGGTTTTGCAGTATTTAAAAGTGGGTTATTTTGATTGCAATAAACTCCTAGGCTAATTTAGAGCATCTTTTGAAGAACTTAATATAAGTCTGCTTGCTACGCTATAAATTGTAAGTGCAGGCAGACTTCGATAGTAATGTAAGCTGAGGCTTACTTTATGGTTTTAAAGAATTTCACACAAAAAAGGAATGCTAGTCTGGTAAGCAATACCTTTTCTGTTGATATAATATTTAATCTGTTTAAGCTTATTATAAATTTTAAATATTTTACTTTAAAGGAATGTGCTAAAAGAATTGCCAAGGTCTCAGCTGAAGCAAAACTGGAAATTGATGAAGAAAATTACTTAAACTCTTTCAGACCCAATTTAATGGATGTTGTCTATACGTGGGCAAATGGAGCTAACTTTGCTCACATTTGCAAAATGACTGATGTCTTTGAAGGTATGTTACTTTATTTTTTTAGCATTTTTAGGAGGTGTGAGAATGATTCCATATCATACACAGAAATGTTGTAGGTTTTTGAGTTCTGCTTGGCCTTGTAATAGATGATAATTTTCTTAACTCAGATTAATTCAAGTATCTGTTTCATCTCTAGCTGAAACCAATTGGAAAAAGTTTTGTTTACTAATTTAATGTATCTTAATTTGCAGTTGCACTTGATTTAGAATCTTCAGAAGACATTTTAAAAGGGCTGTATCTAATTTTTAAGGCTTTGTATAGAACCCAGAAATTCTAATATTGTGGTAGGTGGCAGTGCACATCTTTGGTAGTTAGAGCATTAATACCATGTATAAAAGGGGTTCCGACTCTTTCAAAAAGTTCAGCTCTGGCACTTTGTTTTTACAGCTAAGTTCTTGGTAAATTCGAAGTTGCTTATGCTGGCTTAGTGCTGACAGACTTGAGAGGTGGCAGCCAAACCTGTTTTGGAGAAGTCAGTGTAAAAGTACAGTGCATGAATTTGAAAGGTGCTGCATAGACCCAGGAATGTTCTAAACCAGCTCTCCATGACCACCAGGAATTTGAGCAGTCTGTGATTTTGCGTTGAGCAGATTCCTCCTAGTGAAATGGCTGTCTCTGACTTGGGTTGGTTGACAAAATTTTAGCTCCTGCAGATGCAGCATGAGTGGAGGGAACACAGACTGGGAAGCTGGTGGCTCTGTCATCTCGTGATTGTTCAGAACACCAAAGGACAGTAACAGTTTCCATTTACCATGTTTTGGTTAAGACCAGGCAAGCAGCCTTGTCCTGGACTTCTCGGCTTGCCTGCTCTTAGCTTGAGCAGCGCTGGTTCCCTTGAGGAACCAGTCTGAGGGGCCCCTTGGAGCAGGTCTGCGTTTGTGGCAGGGATTGATGGATGAATCTTCCCTTCACTTTGCCCCAGGCCCCTTTTCTGCGCCTGGTTCAAAGGGCAGGAGAGCAGGGCAGACCTCCAGGGTCTGCAGCGTTCACCTAAACGTGGCATAGGGTGATGCAGTTCTGTGGCAGGGCCCTGCACAGCGTGTGCTCAGTTTGGTGTGGAGAGCACGTGGGCATTTGAGCACTAGGTCCACTTTATGAATGTGTCTGTAACTGTGTAGTGGGTCACAAAAGCCTTAACAGGAGGTGCCTGGGAGGACCGTGCTGACCTAGCAGGAGCGATGGGTGCTTCTGCAGGAAGCCCCAGCTCCCTTGGTGTGCACAAAGGCTCTGGTACAGACAGGAGTTAGGGCTTTAGAGGCCGTGCTGGAAGCTACAGCAAGGGGAAGCTGAGCGCCCGACGCAGCAGCACCCACAGGGCCACCCCTGCTCTCTCCACAGGGAGCATCATCCGGTGCATGAGGCGGCTGGAGGAACTGCTGCGACAGATGTGCCAAGCTGCAAAAGCCATCGGAAACACAGAGCTGGAAAACAAGTTTGCAGAGGGTAGGTATTACTGAATACAAGAGCATCGTGGTAGAGAGAATAACTTGTTTTTGACTTCTAGTAACTCCACGGCAGAGCATAGCCTTGTTCTCCCTGTAAGCAGCACCATGGTTAGGAGGTTTGCCTTAAATAAGTACTGCTGTTTTGATGCATAGTGACAGATGTACCCTGTTTGTGACTGGAGGCAGATGAGAATGACTCCTGTACAACTGCTGTAGCACTGTTTCTGCATTACAACAATGGCAGTTGTCTGTAACTGCACTTAAGAGCATATGGAAGTGATTGTTCTAGGTGTTATTCCTGGACACTAATTTCTGTTTGCTTTGTGGCAGGTATTACAAAGATCAAGAGAGATATTGTGTTTGCTGCAAGCCTTTACCTGTAATTGAAGGTGTCTTCAAAAACTGCACTGGGATCTATCCCTACTTCTGAAGGAAACAGAGCTCAGTTGGCATCAGCTCCACACCTCCATCTCAAGTCAAGACATTTAGGTTTTAATTGTGTGTATTTAAATCATAACCATTTTAACAAGGCATGTACAAACATCAGTATGTAATATAAGTGTTACCACATTTTAATAAAAATTTACAGTTTGAATAGCCTATTTTTTTTAAAAGCAAGAGCTTGAACCAACTGAAATTTAATGTTTAGATATACATAATGGTGTTAAATGTTACTATATACAAGTAAAGTGAGCATCTAAGAACAGCAGCAGTCCCTTAAAAGGCATTTATTTATATTACATAGGCGTTTGGAATTGTTTTTCTGTCAGAGAGCAAGAGTGTTGAGGGGGCCCCTTTCTTCATGGTTGATGATTGCTACCGAAGTGATTTCCATTTGTTGGCGTCTCATGTAGGGTCGTATGGGAATCTTCCTTTGGTTGAAACGTACATGCTCTCACTTTGAAGAAGTCTGACACATATAAAACCTAAGGTAAATAAATCAGTGTTAAGATTCTGCAGTTGCAAATATACAAACAACTGGCAAATGTTTTTATAGTGGCAGATAAATCTCATAAATCCCTTGCTCAAATCTAAGAGCAGTATCTAAACAAGATCAGAACATTACTTTTTGATAAGAAACTTCTTTCTTAACTGTTTTGAAAAGAAGTCCAGCCTTGGTCCTTACAAAAAAGCCTTTTTTTTCCCCAGCTACCTGCTGTCCTGGGTGACTACTTGGCTGTTAAAGGTTTAAACTGAATTTGGGAATTGGGGCTGCTGCTTCCACATGCTCTGTCAGCACCTCTCCTCAGTGTCGCACTACCAACCATCTCTTGCAGATACACTTCTAATTGCCAACACCCTTCCCTGCACCCTTAATGAAGATGTCCTTGTTTCTTTAATCCCTGCCATTCCTCATTCCCTGCATTCTTCATAATAGGAACTGAGACTGTAGCTAACCAAGCAGGTCTTCAGTATCAGTCCTTCAATTGGTTCCTGTCTCCGAACCAGAATTTCCTCTTCCTTGATGTGTCACTTGCCCCAAATCAGTCAAGCAGGACACGCTGGTGACACCTTCAAGAGCATGAGGACAACCAGGGTCAATGGCTGCCTGTGACGCAGGACTGGTCAGTAGTGCTAGGGGTCACACACTGATTATTGTGTACTCCCTTTTAACATCCAGACTGGAATTTCCGAGGCATGGTGAAGGATTTTAGTTTCCCAGCAGACAGAGACTATACATCCAGCAATTAAGACCACAGAACCTGGCTGCAGGCACTTCCATGCTGTCCTTATCTTAGGCTCCCTTGAAGGGTCATTGGGCCTCGCTTTCTTCAGCTCTCTTCTTTTATTCTCGAGATTTAGAATTTGATTAGAAACAAAGCTGATGGTACAGAGAGGCTACCCACCAGCAGCCGCTCTTGCACAGTTATCTATTTCCATCCCAGTTACCTGAACTCAGCTGTTGCACAGTGACAATTCCATATTGTCCAACTGCATCCATCTCATCCCTGCCAAGGAGTCCTGCTATAGGATGCAGTGCTGCTGCTCTACCCAGTTCAAGGAGTTGCCCTCCATCCTCCTCTCTACCCCATCAAGATTTTTCAAAGCTTTAGGAAGCCAAGAACACTCCCCCTCTGAACAGAGTCTCCAAGTTACTGCTTATAAAAGCAACATTTGGAAAAGCTCTTAATGAATTACTTACAATAAGCACAGCTACCACTGCTCCCTGAATGAGTCCTGTCAAAACATCACTCCAGTGATGTTTGTAGTCAGAAACACGTGAAAGACCCACATAGATGGATGCAGCGACGAGAGCAAATTGCAGAGTCGGACGTACAAGTCTTGCCCAATCTCCTTTCATTCTGGCCTGTAGGTAAAGCTAAGGAAAAAAGAAAAGGAGTTATGCAGTAAATACAAAAGCAGGTACATAAAATTCTCAGGTCTGCTCAGTTGAAATTCATTTTCTGAGATGTGATTATGTTCACAAACACCATAAATGCTAAGTTCTTGCAAATTCAAATGCTTAACAGCTAAACAGGTAAATATGTCACTCAGTTTGAGTTTTATACAGAACTATTCAACATTAATGTGTTGATCCACTATATAAAAAAGCATACTGCCCTTGTGCCAGTGCGACAAAGGACTCTGCTTAGGACAAAGGAATGACCATTTGTAGCTTGGGGACCAGACGTCTGTCTCGGCCCTGCATTGACCACAGCCAAGTTCCCCTCTCTGATACATCAGTAGCACGTGGCAGCTCCTTGACTGGTCCTGTTATGGATGCTTGTCCTGCTCTGAATGCACAGAAGCACATCAGCAGTTTTGAGGATATGCTTACATGTACCGTACACAGCACTGATGTTTTTAGCTTAATACTCCATTCCTGTCGCTTTCAGTATTAGCGATTTCCAGCCCAGTCTCGGCTGTAGTTGAGCAGCGTCAGAACTAAGTGCTGAGCTCTGGAGTGCGGCTCCTCAGGGGTCCCTGCTCCTTAGTTTCTGCGTTATCATCTCCTCCATTCCTCGTCCTTTCCAGACGAATATTCACAGAACTTGGGCAGCGATTCCATTACACTGCTTGGTGAGTGAGGGGATGTACGAAATCTTCCTACTTTCCTCTCTCCTCCACCATATTAGAGGTGTATTCTATGTGTATCTATGATTTATGTTGATTCATAAACTTATTCCATGACACCACAAAAAATAACTTTATTACCTTCCCATCTAACCTGAGACACTTCCATCTACTGCTTTATTCTGTATAGGACAGACACCTCATATTTCAGCCCTAAGAGCTTTTCACAGTTTATTTGGAGCACATCATTATATTTATTCTGAAACTTAATTCTGTCTCCAAAAGAGGCAACACAGCTACCATATTTACCAACAGGAACAATGCAGTCACAAATGATACTTAACATTCCAAGTGCATCTTTCCAGCACCTTGTAGGAACCTCAGCGCTAGCCCCAGACCCTGCGCTATCGCGATGGCTCCGGGCACCAGGACAAACACACAGAGCCCCGGGGAAACCCTCCAGCGGCAGCGCTCGCAGGGCCAGCGCGCGCACAGAGCACACACTGTGCACAGAGGTGCCGCTTCCCAAAGTCAAACAGCTGGGAAATGCCTAGCTGGTTTCTCAGAGTGACTCGCATCATAATTCTGGCATGCAGAATTTTTCTGCTATAAATGGAGTGTCAAAAAGATCAACCCTATCTATAACTGGTTCTCTTTAAGAGCAAGGTCAGGTTGAAATGAGGCTTTTTCAGAGTCTGATTGCAGCTGAAGCTCTAGCTGAAGCTACAACCAAGCCCAAATTGGAAAATAAACTTCTCCTAGGTGTAGTGGGCACTGCACATAACCAGGGGCCCAAATTTCACCACTGGAGAAAAAGGGGTGTTTGGCCACCTTGCAAGTTACCCATCCTGCAGTTCACTTGATTTCTGCTTGGGGAGAGGTGCTTTAATGCTCCTGCCTTTGGCTTTGCGAAGAGGAGACCACAACGCTGCTTGTGTCTCGCGCACCAGAAGTGGGTCCTTGCAGCACACGCTGGTGGTCTACAAAGCACCAGCCCTTTGATAGTGGCTGCTTTTTTCCCCTTTCCCCTATTCCCACTAAATTCTGCTGAGGACAGCTGAAAAATATCTTGCAGTAGTAAGTTTTTGCCATGTAAGCATTTTTTACTTGGCAAAGACACTCTACGTTCATATTAATAAGGAAAAAGGGTTATGTAACTGCAGATGGACAGGAAACTGGGTTTATTTCTGAGGGGGACAGTTGATGGGGAAATCTCCAAAACACAAAGTTCTGAAAAATCTGATTCTTAAGAACTTCCATTCCACATATACGGCCACAGGAGATCAAATTTAGAAAGCCGTAGCAGTAAGCAGCCCATTTTCAGGGCAGCCTCTGGAGATGCCTCCTGCCCGCGCACGGCGCACGCGGCTCAGAGGGGGCCGGAACGCTGCTGCAGTGAGCGGTTTCCCAGAAGGCAGCTCAGCTGCAGTGGCGGATTCCGCGTGATTTTCACGCAGCCCTTAGGGTGAGAGCCACGGCCTCCTGCTCCCCAGCAAACGCTCCGCCTGCCGTGACTCGGGGCGGCCGAGGCGGCTGCGGGACAGCGGGGCAGAGCCCGGGAACAAGGGCAGCAGCTCCTGCCTCGCGGCGCCATTTCACACAAGGCAAGCTCCATTCCAGAGGCTTGGCCAAGAATCCTAGGGCAATACTGCGTGCATGCAGCCTAGCACCAGTATCTGTCGGACACCGCTATCTTAACCCCACTGGCTCCTGCAGAGCAGCGATTCCAGGCTGTTCAGAGGCTCCCTCCCCTGGATCCGCACAACTCTGCTCCTCTTGGAAGCCCCGCACAGAGCCGGCTCCACCAAGGGAAGCAGGGGTGAATCCCTCCCTGCCAGCTCTCTGCTAGAAAGGAATAAGCCTCCCAACTACAGCTTAAGCCTACTGAAGCAGCAGAACCTTTACAGACATTCCCTTGATTATATTATATTGCTGTTCTCGTGAAGATTCACCGTTTCCCTCGTTCCTGAGAAAAACCTGGCTACAAGTGTCCAGAGCTGCGATAGGAGCGTGTTGCTCCCAGAAGAGATCAGTATTTGACCACAGTCTTCCTTGCCATCCTGTTTTGAGAACCTCAGGTATTTGAGAAATAGTGCCCTTCAAGTACATGCTACTTACCTCTGTTCTTCATCAGTCCTCCTTTGTTAATGCTTGTTTTAAAGCCTACAAGACCGTTTCTATGAAATCTTTTTGTAATAGGATAAAATTTCCAGCATTTTTCACCAGCTAATGCTTACTCTATAATGAAAGTATGTTCTCTACACCACACATCCTGAGCAAAAGTTGCTTCTTAATCTATGGTCTAGTAATTCACTTCTAAAAATACACATAGGAATGGAGAGAAACTCTCAGCCACTTTGTGGCAAGCCACAGACACGAATGGAAGGGTCTCTGCAACTGCAGAGTTATTTGCCACTCTTTAAAGTTTCTAGCATCATTTCAAGTGTTTGCCCTTGCAGCAAAGCAGGACCAAGATGCACATGCCTGCCCCAGCCTACTTAGCAGTCCGGTGTCTTCTACTTCCTAGGCAGACATTCAGGGTATAATCTTGTGGCTTCACAAGAGTTTCCAGGCAGCTGACGTTTCACATCTCCACATTAAGGCCAAAAAAAAGTCTGTTAGATCTACCAGAATCTATTCTTCTAACCCCAGGTCATATTTTTAAAATTTAGTTTTATAACTGAAAACTTGTAGACCTTCTTCATTCAAAACCTACTCAGCTTTCTTTTTATTATTCTTTTTATTTTTTAAACACATCTCTATTACGTTGGAAGCTTTTAGTGTAAAAGATTTTGCCTGTTAGGGTATGGGAAATCTTCCTGCACTTCCAGTCAGCTCTACGTTCTTTCGAGAATAGAAATCTACATGGATTTTTTTTCCTATTAGGAAGTTTTACCTTTAATATCTATTGATTTGCTCTGTCACTGTTAAAAATTTGTTTTAATGGGATTTTATCTTACCTTACCTTGATAGGTGCACTTCCTACAGACTTCCTATTCTGCCTTAACAAACAACTGTGAGAACTATGCATTTATTCCAAGTTATTCTCATCAGTCCCGCTGTTCATGTTAGCATCGTAAGCCAACAGCATGCTGGGGAGACAACAGTTTTCCTAGAGAAAAAGCTCCTAAATGGCAAGGGAAGTGGGGAGGGAGAAGGGAAAAAAAAAAAGGATCCCTTCTCCTATGAGATAAGCCCTAGTTTGAGAGAATACAGTAATGATACAAACATTGAGAATGAGCAAGTCGAGAGGCCTGGCATTTACCATGGTCTGATTTTCAGATTCACGATCTCTACCTGAGCATAAGAAAAAGCCCTGTGTGATTTCTGGGGTGCCCTCTGAAAGGGCACAAGGTTCTGCTACAGTTATAATTAGCACCTGGATCCGTTACTGGTTACAGCTAGAAAAGCTTACACTTAAAAGCAGGTCACTTGACCCCAAAAGTCTCAAGAGCCACAAACAGCAATCAGAGCTGCACGAATCCTCGGCAAGGTTTTCTCCCAGCCCAACAAGCTCAAAAATAGCAGGGCTGGAGCCACCTTGAGCACGTGCACACACGTACACGGTTGGCCTTGGCAGCGGGGCCCGGAGCGAGGGCTGAGGCCGGCGCCCGGTTTGATTTTGTTTTGCCAGGCGAGGAAGAGGTGGAAGGATGCAGGGAAAGCAGAGGAGGAGGCACCAGCGCTGCCCACGCAGGGACCGCAGGGCGGCCGCGAACACCCGCGGCCTTGGACTGAAGTGTTCAAACAGGCATCTAAGAGAGCGAGGGAGAAGGGGCACTGCGAATGCAGACACAGCTGTGGGCCAGGGAGGTTTTGTCTCTGAGGATATGCCAAGGACATCCTCACAGGACACAGTCTGATCCTCTTCCCACCGAGGCCGTGCGGCCCAACAGGCTCCCCCGGCCAGGGGCTGAGCACGAGGGGCTGCGCCTGAGCCCTGCACTGTGGCAAGGGCGCCTCCAGCTCCCGCATGTCTAGGAAACCTTGACCAGGTTGCTTTGCCCATGAGCCATTAGTTTTTCAGCAGCGCAAGCACTGGAATTTGAAAGATTTCAAGAAATCCAGGAAACCCAGCAGAACGTGCAGTTTTCAGAACAGAACAGCGACCAGCAGCCACGAGACTTGAGGAAAGATACCACCTTGTTTACACAAGTATTGCATAATATAGACTACAGGAGCTCATTCTATACCTCTAGCACAGTATACATGAACAAACAGTGCTCCAGGCATGAACTGACAGGGCACTGTCTCGTTCGCGTGATGTGAAGCTTTAAGCTTACACAAGTCGTGTCCGTGCTCCAT